TATATATATATATATATAGATTGTGTAATATATGGAATGGTTCATAGAAGGTATATAACTCAGAAAGGGGTGAAAAAATTGTTGAAAATGGTAAATCAATTAAGTATTATGTAATGGCATTAGACAAATTGGACAAGATGAAGTCAATGTTTTCTAAAAGGATTAAGACAATTAAGTGAAACAATACCGGAAAGTAGTTGAAGTGAAGGCGATTATAATAACAATAATAGTGATAAAGGAAGGATACAAAGGTTAAATTAACAAAGTGGGAGGGGAGCTAATGGGGTGGGAAAATGTTATGGCCATGATAAAGACAGTGACTGCACATACATCTTTTGTACACACAGATCAGGTCTTAGTTCATGAATAGCTAAAGCCTCCGCTGTTTTAAGGAGTTGAAAAAGAAGAGAACGTGGGAGGTTTGGGCGAATTTGATAAATAATTTCAAAGTCATCGTCTGGATTTGTTGTATGGTGGAAGTCAATCAAATGTTCTAGAATCGAACTTCTAACAGACTTTCTTTCACCTTTATAAAACCAAACAGGAACATGTTCTCGTATACGTGTAGAAAGGATTCTCTGGCTACGGCCAATGTACCTTGCTCCACAAGAGCATTCCATATATTACATAATCTATTTGTTATCATTCGCACTTCAGTTGTTTATATATATATAACCGTTTCATTCATTCATGCCACAAATGCTTACAGTTATTATTACTATGATTGTTATTATTATTATTATTATTATAGTTTTAACTACCTTGCTCTTTCCTCTCTTGTCTCCACTCATCACCAGAAACTCACCAGTTGACATAATAATCTGTTCACTCTTCTCTTCGTGTTACTGACTATTATATAAACTATCAATTGTGCAATTATGTTTCAAAACTTAATAACGTTTACTATATAGAAGTTGAGCACTAAGTCTGATTGAATCATTATAAGAATATATTTTAATACAATCCCAGTATATTTAGAAAATCGAAACAAGATATTTTTGAATGTTTCGTTGTGTAAGTCATAGCTTCTTCAGCAGAATATTACATTATTTATTATTATTTTTCCCTTGGGCTCCTAGTGGACCATGAGGCTTCAGTAGCACGCCTTCATTGCACTCTGTTCTTCGCAGTCTTTTGAACCTCGCTCCACCACTGCCCACAAGCTTTCATTTCTTCCTCACATCATCTCCTCCATGTCATCCTCACCTGGGACGCCCAACTCGTCGTTCCTCCTTTGGATTTCACTCCACGGCCTTGCCTGACGTGTGATGTTCTCAATCGGCTTTCTCAGTGGATACGCAATCCATCTCCACCTCCACCTCCACTTTCCTCCTCTGCATATTTGTTGGGCGATAGGTTCTCGCTTCGTTGCTTCGTCACCAGCCAGAGTTCCTTGTTGCTTATTCTTTCTCGACATCTGGTCTGATCTTCAGTATCAAGTGAACGTAGAGGACAGCTGTTGATGAATGTCTGTAGTTTGTTGGAAGTGTTTTTCGTGACGTGCCAATTTTCGGTACCAAATAGCAGCACTGAGATGACTGACGTTGGTGTTTAAAATGCGGATGTTGTTTATGTTTTAAGCTGAGTGCAGTAGATCGCCACATTGATTTCAGATTAGTGAAAGCCTGTCTTGGTTTACGGATGTTGGCTGCTTTGACATCCTCGTCTGTGCCGCGTGTAGTTGAAACGATGCTGCCTAGGTAGGTAGGTAGGTGAAAGAGACAACTTCCGTTAGGTTCCTCCGGTTAATGGTGTTTGGTGCTTGTTGTTGTTGTTGGTTGGGTACCTTCATCACCATGCAAGTCGCACACTTTTTAGGGTATACTAAAAGGTTCATCTATTACGATATCATATCGTAAACGTACTTGTGTACAAATTAAAAGAGTATACACCTCGCATGTTATTAAAGTCTGTTGTAAACTTACAAATTCACTAGGAATAGATCTTAGTTAAAGTGAATGATACAATTCCTAAGATGATGCAGAACATATGTGTCTACAAAATTAAATGTTTTGAGTGTGAAGCTAATCATGTTGGAGAAAGTTGTAGACACTTAACAGTTATGTACGAAGCATTCACTGGGGTATCAAGAGGAATTAAAAAAAGTCAGAAAAACCGATCACAGACTCAATTATGCATTCAATCGAAAGTGGACATATGAATGACTTTGAGAAAGTAGACATATTGGGAAAAGGTTTCCATTCATATAAAGAATAAAGATCAACTTTTGACACCCTGCATATTTTAACAATATGAAATGCTATATACAGAAAAAAAGTTAACTTGTCACTTATTTAGGAGACATTAATCCAACAAAACTATTGGTGATTTTCTTTTCTAGTTGGAGCTTAAGTTACAGTGAGAATTATTGACAGTTTTGTCAATAAAAGTACAATAAACAACATACATTCTACAACATGCATAAACACACACCCAAACACAAACACTTTGACTATCTTATACATACGTTGACAAATGACAATAATAAGCGTAAACTATTTAATGACTAGTCTTAATTATATTGAATGATGATTGAAGGTGAAATGAGGATTTCGACCACGGCCGGATTCGAACCAGCAACCATCAGGTTACCATTTTGTTGCTCTAACAAAAATTGACCACATAGCTCACTTGGTAAAGTATCAAGCTGCAAACCCCAGTGGTTGCTAGTTGGAGTCCGGTCGCTATCTGAATTTCCCTTTCACATTTAATCATCATCTAGTATAAATAAACTAGTCTGTTAAATCACGGCTATCTCACATAGTCAAAATGATAATCTTAATTACTCAGGTTGGACAGGAAAATCACTCAACCAATGACCTACCTTCACTAAATATATTTGATATATCATTTGACTCAATATTTTGATGTTAATAAAGGTGTGTATATTCTTTTGAAGAAGCTATGACTTACACAGTAAAACGTTTAGAAAAGACACTCTAGGATTATACTAAAATATATTCTTGTATATTTAATCTAGTTAGCCTCTTTCTGTGTATATTTGATAGATACTCTTTTATTGATTACTAAAATTAATGGAGATGTTATTTTTAAGTTTTCTAGAGTAATTGTTAAAACTTTTAATAATTCCCATCATGTAAATTAGAAGAAGACACATGTAAGCAAACAGTATTGTATTCATTTAGACCCTCTTTAGGCTTCACTTATACTATACAATACTATACTATACTATACAATACTAATAGCTTAATGTATATAAAATGGCAAACCAATCATGTAGATTTATCGGTTAATGTGATAAATATTTTAAGAGTTATGATGTTTATTATACTACAAATAATAATAATGATAGTAATAAAAATGATAACATTGACTAAAGCACTTGGAATATTATTATTATGTATCCCCTGGGTTCCTAATGGAACAAACGGCTTCAATAGCACGTCTCCAATGTGCTCTGTTCACTGAAATCTTTTAAATTTGGCTCCACTACAGCCCAGAAGCTCTCATTTCCTCCTCGCACGCCCAACTCGTCGCTTCCCATGGGGGTTCCACTCGAGGGTCTGGGGATAATGATGATGATAAGAACTGATGAAAGCAGCATGAAAATATAGACATTGTGGTAATCAAAGCCGTAATCCAAGTTATGTAATACTGAAGGACAGTTTAAGTGGATAAAGAAAGTGGTCGTTGGTTCGAATCCAGCCGTGGTTGAGATTTTCATCTCACCTTCAATCATTACTCAGTACAAATATTAGTCTGCCAAAATATGGTTATCTTAGATAGTCAAATCATAATCAATATGATGCTGTTCCTCTCTGATCCACTTAGATTTGGATTGGGACGAGATATCCTGACTAGGCAACCAATGTGAATAAGATCAAGTGGTAGTAACGCATCATGAACTCACATAGTAGTCGGGCAAAACTCTTGGTGATTGAAGTGAACTAAAATTCTGCTCAGCAGTCGGATCTCGTAGCTCAATTAGTAGAGCACCGGATTGCTAAACCGCTGATCGCTGGTTTGACTCCGGCAGCGGTCCAGATTTTCATTTCACCTTCAATCATCACCCAGTACAAACAAAGTCTAGATGAATGCAGTAAGTATGTCAAGTGTGTGAAGAATATGAATGGGGTAGGAAAAAAAACCTGAATGATAAAGTTGTTAAGTAAGTACTCCTTGGCCAAAGTAGAGATAAGGAATGTACAAATGTCTTCTGGATGCAAAGACTAGGATTGTTAGCTTGATTACCCACAGCTTCTGCTATATGTAAAAGACGAGTTCAAATACCTTTCGAAACATGTGATGGTATGCAATGAATAGTAGTGAAACAACCGTTCTTATCTACCAAGTGACCACTTTAAATGAGGTGAGATAAAACCGAGCTTCTGATGTATTTTATCTGTCCATTTCCCGACCATGAAGGTAGATGCTCAGCAACACGTTTTTTAAGTTGTTTATTAGTACACCCTATATAGTTTTCTCTACAAGAGAAGCTGAACTAGTAAACATACATAGAAATGACAAAACTAGACAAGTTGTCTGATCAGCAACAATTGACTGACCGCAAAATGATAGACAGAGTTGTGCGGTGTACAAGTTCCTCTTAATGGCTCTTGATATAGAACGTGACAATAATTTCATATTTGTTTCCCCTGGTCTTTTCTGTATGTCTAATAATGAAACTAATAGGCTAGCCCATTTCAAGCAACGAATTACTAATATAGATGCGAACACATTCTTCTCACTCTATTAGTGAGGCATTTAAACACGTTTAGTTTGTACCGAATTGCTAAGAAAATGTGTATACTGACTTATAGATGTAGTCCTCCTATAAACACATCTGTTGAGTGAATCATCTATTCTGCTTAATAAAGACATCCAAGAAGCGTAGACTACTCATATTTTCTTCTTTACAAAATGAAAGTGTATGAAAGATGCCTGAAAAGGATCTAATTAAAAAAACAATATTTTTCACTTCTCTCTATGTCCTGTTCTAATTAATTATTAACTTTTATTTTAATTTTATTCCTTTTCAGTTTGTTGAAATTGCATTAACAATGTAATTGATTGTAAGTAAGTCATTAGGTATAGTCAATATACCTATTCTCTTCCTTGTAAATATTTAGTTTGTTTTAATCAATCAATGAATGTCACCATTTTTGTAATATTCACTTCGCTACTCATTTAATAATAACAGTTATAAAATCTAATTTTACTATTTTACTGAATTAATTATAAAGATGAAAATATCACTCTCTTTTCAGTCATTTATCGTTTAATGTTTCCATGGTTTACACACACACACACACACACAGAGGGAATCGTTTATCAGTTCTGAAGGTTGTCATTATTAAAGGTTTAACAACTGCGACTAGCCTACTTTATTACCTTTTCTTACTGTTACCATTATTACTACCATTATTATTACTATTATTATTATTATTATTATTATTATTATGGATCAATTGTTTGTTGTCCAATGTTCAATTTGTTTCTACTGCTGTGAAATACAGAAGAGAAAAAAAAAGAAGAAAAGACTTATTTTGTAATTTATTTATTTATCAACTTGCTATAAAGGCTTTCTATTCTACTTTTCAATTCATGATAATTTATTTAGTTGTTCATGTTGTTATAAATTAAAGTATCAATTATTCTCAATTTTCAATGTTACCACCGAAGTGGTAAGGTGATATGCATATTTATCCTTTTTTTTTGTACTTTTCTTTCCTCTCTCTATCTCTCTCCGTCTCATATTCACCAAGACTGATATATTTTTACCCTATTTTTTTGTCATCTATCAGTAATCTGTCTTTTTTTACTTGTTTATTCTTTATATGTAACTATGACAACGAGTGTGACCTTGAAGAGGCGCGCTATTTGTGTGTATATTCTATGTACAATATATCTTAACGTAACATTTTTAATTAGTCAACATTCATATTGTTTTTTTCTTGCTTGTATATACTTATTCATTTACATATACGCATACATACATACATACATACACACAGATACACATAGACAGACACAAGTAAATACGTTGTCGAAAACTTTCTTCTACTTTAATGTTGATTATGGTGGTCTATTTTCTCTTGGTTTCTGTTCCCCTTAATATTTTCTGTTCAATCGCTTTATTCACTATGTTTTATTATTTTTACATCCTAATTTACTTGTTTTAATGGATTATTACTTATTTATCTTAAAATATTTACAAAGAAAGGAAAAGATATTTTTCATTAAACGTGTTTTAATAAGTTTTTAGCTGATTTATCACTTGTTCATTGGGTGTAGTCAGTTTTTCTTAGAAGAAGAAGAAGAAGGAATGGAGAACTGAAAAATACTCTCTCAAAATCCATTGAACTGGTGCTCATTGGTGACTAGCTTCGAGAGGTATTCCTGAAGTTCTAATTAGAAGTCGTGACCAGTGAGGGCAAAGCCTGATGGTCGTGAGGACAATTACTCAATGATGACATTAGGTGGCGGTTACACTATATCGTGAGCTAACAGAAGTTGGAAATATTGACGATTGGATTCTGACCCAGTGACCAGCTTAATGGTAACGCGCTGGTCGCGTGACCTGAAGGTGGTGGGTTCGATCCCTGGTTGGCGGGGTCAAGGGTGCGCACTGCTTAGGAGTCCCATACTAGTTGGACGAAAGAGCTGTACAGTTCTCTCTGGTTTCTTTTGTTCCTCCTTTACGATGAATAACGATATGAAAGTTACTTAGCGTAGAATGATTCCTTTAGTCTGTTAGGTGAGTTTTGGAAAGTACCAATACAAACCTATCAATCTTTACTGAGATCATATAGAGTTAGGCCTAACTGTTATCTCATTTAATTCAAATTTACAAGGTGAACTATTGAATTCGCGTTGTTAAGCTTAAAGTCTATTGATACGCTTCAAAAACTCTTCATCTTTTAGTATAATTGTCTTTATATCATACCGTCGTTGATTCGACCGAACTGATCAGTCTCTACTGGCATATGGGATCCTATGCGGATGCCTCGATATTACCGGTGCTGTAATGGTAGTAATGATGGATAGTGGCTGGCAGTGAGATCCAGGATGTGCATCTCGTCCCATTTGTTACTCATCATCTGGATGTACCTGCTTCCCGATGAGTAATGTTGTTCCAATCGGGATTCGGACTCGGAAGTGATCACTTCAAACGCTAGGGCGTTGTCCACTACACCACCGAGCCACAACAGACCGATCAGTTCGGTCCAATCAACGATGGTATGATATTAAAATAATTATGCTAAAACTATACCCGTCGCACAAGGAGTGGCTATCGTGGCTTAGTGGTGCAGTGGACAACGCTGTGGCGTTTGAAGCGATCACTCCTGAGTCCGATTCCCGATGGGAACAAGATAAAGGATAATTTACTGATATGTTGTATATGGTAGTGAGTAAACGTACGGAAAAATGGAAAACTTTACATTATGGTGAATTGGTTCAAGCTATTATAGTTTACAGTAGGGAAAAAGAGAAAAATAACACACTTAAACGAAGAATAACGATATAAGTGGATGGAAAACAAATAAGAAGTTGAAAACTTTCAGAAAGCTAGACAGTGAATAGATATGTATCATTGAAATCGATCTGAACCTTTTTTTTCCACTTCTGTCTGTTAAATAAAACAACCAATCACAAAGAGGTAACTTCTTTCAATTTTACAGGTAATAGTGGTTACTAGCGAAAGAAGTTCAACTTACTTTATTCAGAATTCATTAACTGAATGTACTTACCTTTCGCAGTTTTCTTGTTTTCATCAAAATTCCAAACTTGAAATCAATCACTTTGAAATCTGAAGTTTTTTGCACGTGGTTAATGCTGAAGTTAGATGTAGAGACTGATGTGACTGGAACATCTGCTACGCTTACCTATATATATCGTTTGCATCGTCGCAAAATGTTATCTGAAGTAGGTTCAGACAGGAAAAAGTCATCATTGTATTGTATTTTTACGTTTTTAACTGTAAGGAAATATAGACTAGCGGGTTGGGATCCATATGACAATAGAAACCAATGGTTGAGGGCTCTGGATGACATCGTTCAAAAGTGATGTCAGTGGAGCGAATGTTAATCGTTATACTGAACTCAGTATTTTTATATTCTTTCTCCATCTTTTTCCCTACTCTCTACTACCTTCGACCGATTCCTTTTTTTTTCCTTACTTTTAATCATATTACTTTGTTACTTCATGTGATGATGACATTAGATGTGGCAACATGAACTATTACTCACTTATGTCTTGTTTTACGTCGATATTCATGACGGTAAATAGCCTAATGATTCAGTGCAACATTAAGGCATATCAACAGTCAAAAACCTAAATATCCATTGACACTATTCTCAATAATATAAAGGACTTATATGCATTTATTATCATTATTATTTATCCTTCAACTTCCTAGTGAAACATAAGGCTTCAGTAGCGTATCTCCATTTCAGTCTCTTCTCTCTAGTCTTTTCAACCCGGCTACACCAATGCCACGAAACTTTCATTTCTTCCTCACATGATCTCATTTATGTCACCATCGTCTCGGACACCTAACTCATCAGTTTCCCTTTTAGGTTCCACTAGAGGGACTCAATGACGTGTGATATCCCCAAAACGTCTTCTCAGTGGATCTCCAATCCAATCCATGTCCATATTTGGTGAGTGATAGATTTTTGGTTGGTTCATTGCCAGGTCAGAGTTCCTTGTTGCTTATTCTTTCTGGCCATTGATAAATATAATATTCCGTTCTTATACTGCATTAAACTGATTCACCTCCAATATCATACAGACTCCTTCCTGGATGCCTTCAAGCAAATAAAACACAATTTATTTTATTACCATTTACATGAATGTGCTCAGTAGATTCCAATCTAACTGTAAATATCGATTAGTATATCGTTCAGATGCTATACTTACTAACTAACCTATACAAAGGTTTAGGCCTTACAGTATTGAGTACACTTTATTGTCTATATCAAATAGATGTTTCATTATAGTGGACTTCTTTGTAGTAGATGAGAAAAATTTGGATTCATTCAAAAAGAATTTACCACGGCTATTTCAGATAGTTGATCTCATAATGAATATGATATCTTCCTTATCTAATTGAAGGAGCATTGTTATAGGATGAGAAGTTCTGACTGGGCAGCCAGCGTGAATACAATAAATGGACAGTTATATATCATAAATTCACCTTATATTCGAGAGAGAAAACCCTTCATGGTTAAAATGAAATCAAGATCTGGTTGGAAGCTGGGTAAAGTACCTCTGTTGGCAGGTCACTAAGCTGATAAACCAAAGGCATTTAATTCAAACCTTGTCATAAACCAACTTTTCAATTTACCTTCATTAACTAATGTCAGTGATACAAACCTGTGAAATCATGGCTATCTCAAGTAATCAAACCGATGATTGACTACTAATCTATAACTTGGATGTTCAACTGAAATGAATTTTATTTATATTTGAAAAGATTTATGTAACCAAGTTTTAAATCCAACTGTTATGCATAGTGGCGCTACGCATCATCAGAGAACAGAGAGCAGAATGGCAACTCTCTACCACAACTTCATCGACTTTCAAAAACCTTCGACAGCGTCGACCGAGAAGTAATTTGGCAGGTAGTTGCTTAAACACTACGGTTTAAGTGCCAAAAACCTTATTCAGCCTCATTCATCAACAGCTGTATGATGGTGATGATAATCTTGCATGTCGAGTGATCGACAGTGGAAAGCTCAGTAATGCCTCTTACGTGAAGTGAATACAGGAAGGAGTAAGACAAGGTTGCCGCCTGCTATCACCGATCATCTTTCTGATTGTGGTCCAGTGGACAGGACAGGGCAGGACAGGAGTGTCTGATGCAAGAAACTGTGAGGAGCTGTGAGAAGATTGGCATACGCTGTATGAGTGATGAAAAGAGCCTATGCTATTTGGATTTCGCCAACGATGACGATTTATGTCCAATGTGTTGTCGCACAAACTCGAAGATCTACAGGCAAAAACTAACAAGTTGGCATATGAGACGGGGCAAAGTGATTGGATACAGCAAAGATGGTACTTC